GGGCGTGCTTCATCCCTGCCGGCCCAAGGAGCAAGCTGGGACTTGAGGCAGGAGAAAGCACTGCGGTTTGCCCAACTAGTTTGCTGGGAAGCTGGCTGTGGGGCTGGCCCGCAGCACTGCCAAACTCCCCCCACAAGAACAGGGATTATTTGGAAGGGGAGTGAAATTCCCTTTCTCCCAAATCCTGGTGGGGATTTTTCGGCTTTTCAAAGAGACATTTTCCATCATAAGGAGGTTGTGACGAGCTTGTCTTTCCCTGTCCAGCTCTAGCATTTGGCAAGTAGAAAAGGAGAGGAGGTGCACAAGGAGAGGACGAGGAGGGACCAGGGCCAACGAAGGACGTGCCAAGCTCTGAGGATGCTCCAAGGACCAAGCTCCAACTTCCAGACTCCAAGGAGAAATGATTAAAAGCAGGAACCAACGCTGCAGGGGTGCTGCTGTGGTGTGGCACCAGGGGAACAAGGTGCTTATGGCTGGGAATGGCCCTTAGTGGACAGCGAGGGGCCCCAACGAGATCCTCAGCCTTGTCCTGACCCACGGTGACCACGGGAGGGACTGTCCCTCCCCGAACAGCCCCCAGGCCAGACGAGCCATCTCCTTTTCACCCACGAGAGAGCTGCTGCCCCAGGACAGGGTGTCTTACTCAAAGCCACCAGGCTGACAGTGGTGGCATTCAGAGATGAGCTCGCTGGCCCTTTTCCATCTCTCCAGGGCTGCAGATGTGCAGCCCGCAGAAGGTGTCACGTCCAGGCGCCAGCCCAGCCAGCAGCTCGACAGACATCTCCAGCCACCCCATCTTAGGGTCATAGGGACACAGGGATGCAAGGATTGTGGACACAGGGATGCAGGAACACAGGGATACAGAGATAAGGATGCAGATATGCAGACATGTAAGGATTGAGGACACAGGGATGCAGGCTCACGGGGTTGCGGAATCAAGGCTGCAGGGATGCAGGGACACAAGGATCAAGGACAAGAGATCATGGACACATGGATGGGAGCAGGAGCAGAAGGTTTGGTTCCCGCATGGTATTTCAGCTGAAACAGCAAAAGAGACACCAGCAACTGCGTCATGGTGACAGGGACATGTCCTGGCCTGAGCAGGACCCACGTGGGATAAAGTACTGTGGGTCTGAGTGATGCTGATGGTGAAACCCAGTGAGACAGTACAGAAAGAGCAGAGGGAAATGCCTGTGATGACAGAGCGATAAAGCAGGTGGTGATACACACCCACACCAGCCTTCCTTGTGCCAAGGCGTGGAGCTCTATCAGGCTGCTGCTCTGGCTGAAAAGCAATCCTACCAAAACAAACGAATCCGAGCACTGCTGCCACGTCCTCGTGGGCATAGCAGGAGGAGCTGTGACCTCCTGCCCCAGCCTGCTGGGCTTGGGCAACCTCTCCCCACGGCCCAACTCCCACATTCACAAGAGGACTTTGGGGTTTTCCTTTCCCTTCCCATTTTTTTATGCTTCTCTGACACCTGACTCGTAGAGGGCTGTGCTCCCCCATTTTCTGGCTCCTGGAGACTGTGAAAGCCCTGGCGATGGAGGTCCACAGGGCGATGGGCGAGATGGAGGATGGCCAAGCAGTGGACAAAGCTCTCAACAGGAGCCCATTCCCTGAATCCCTGGACCCAGAAAGCTGCCTGCAAACAGCCAGACCTGCCGCAAGGCCACTCTGCATCCGGATTTGGGTAAATAAAGCGTGGGGCGTGAGAGCTGCGGTATGCCAGGAATGCTGCAAGCCTTCCCGGGCGGCTGCCTGCAGCTCTGGGGCAGCAGGAGCTGGGGGGGCAGGGCAGGTACGGCCCCTGGCCAGGGGCCACTGGCACCCCCCAACATATTCCCAGCAGCCGCAGCTCCCTGTGAGCTTCCCACCCAGTCCTCCCCATCGCTGGCCCCGTTTCGGGGCGGGGGGTAGGGGGGAGCTTGTTTCCCTGCTTGCAAAACCCAGGAGAAGCCATGGGTGGAAGGAGGAGCCTGGCTCCCAGCTTCCCATTTCTCTGAGTCTCTCTAACTTGCTCTTGCAGGGATGGAGACCTGTCCCACAGCCACAGGAAGCCCCACAATTTTCAGCCATGCTCCTTCCAGGTTCCTGGGTGGGAAGGGTAGAGCTGAGCCAGCGTTCAGCATCACAGTCCCACCAAGACCAGTGATCCTCAATGGAGTCCTAAGCCACCTTCCAGGGAGGAGTTAGCAGCAAAGCTGGTTTCTTGTGCCGTTGTTCTGCATAAACTAAGCTAAAGCCCATTGCAGAGACTTGCACAAGATCTCCTGGTCCCCAGGGACAGTAGGATAAAAAAAAAAAAAAGAGCTGCCAATAAATGCCAAGTGATGCACAAAAGGGAAAGCCCCAAGCCTGGCTGGTGATTGCTCCAGCCAGGCTGCCAGCACCCAAGCAGCCAGAGCAGAGTCCCCAGGGATGCTCCCTGGGAAGCATGAATGCAACAGCTATTAAAAATAAAAGTCAAATGACAGCAGCAAACAAAAAGTTCTGAGGAGAAGTGCTGGGGAGCAGCACGGTGTGACTGTGGAAGACTTAAGGCAACCCTAGCTTGAACAGCAGGAGAAATTCTGGTCTTCCAGAAGACCAAGGAGCTGAGCAGGTTGGGAAGGGCTTGGAGGTGGCTGACAAAGCCAGGGGAGAGGCTGGGGACAAGAAAGGTCCAGCTGTGCTTGGAGATGCTGTTGAGGAGTCCCTGCTGTGGGGGCTTAGGAAGGCAGGAACGGGTCTTGCGAGGAAGAGGAGGATCCCACCAGGATGGACTTACTGGAGCACTACACGCAGGAAGGAAACTACATCAACATTTCTAGGCAACTCCATCCTTTTCCCCCATCGAGGTGGGGGAAATGGGATCCTAATGGGATTTCAGGGAATGCAGAGATGCTCCTGAGCCTTTTCTTCCCATCTCCCATGCAGCTGCACCCAAAATCACTGCCTGGGGGAGCTGGGAAGGGCAGCGCTTCAGCCAGGGGGTCACCACCCCTAGACCCCTTCCCCCCGGCAGCACCTCTGTCTCGCCCCATCACATGGGAAAAAAGACTACTCGTGGGTCAATATTTGGGGTTTTTTTATTAAAATATTGTTATACCAAGTGGAATGCTACAGCAATCTCGGTATAGGGCGGCATAATGAAACAGCCAGGTTTACGTTTAAATACTTAAGATAACTTAAAATGCACAAACAAGAACTCATTGTCTTTGGCAGGAAAAAAAAGTTCACAGCACGAAAAAAAATACTTAAAAAGAAATACCAATATTAATATAAAATATATTAAGTTGTGGAGTTTTTCTTTTCCTCTTTCATAATTTTTGTTTGTTTGTTTTCCACGTTGTAAACAATGCACGAGAACCGAACGCATTTTTTACGTGTCTGGGAGAAAAAACTAAAAAATGCAGTTGTCCAGCAAATGCACACATGTTTAAAGAAGAAAGAAAGAAAAAAAAAAATATATATATACACAAAGGGCAAGGACGGGAAGCGTCCGAGCTCAGAGGAGCGAGACGTCGGTGCTGGCTACGGGCAGAAGCCAGCTGCCAGTAGCCGGGGGATGTAGCAGTGGGATGAAGCCACGAGAGGGGCGGCGTGTCCCACCACCTCCGTCAGCTGTCCTTGGTTCACTCAGAGTATTTCACCTCCGGTTTCAAGGGGATTTCTCCTCCACCTTTCATTCCCTCAATTATAGCTTTCTCTTTTGCTTCACCGCCACCCCAGCCCGAACCCCTTGCCTGCCCGTGATAAAAACCCAGAGGCAGGATGCAGGTGATGGATGCAGATGATGGAGGTTTGGGGGTCCCAATGCTCGACTTGGCCACATGGATCCGGGCAGTCGATGGGACCCATGGAGGATCCCTCCTGGCTCTGCCCTTGCACAGAGACATCGGCTTGTGGGTACAGTTTGGGCAAACAGAGAGGGATTTTCCAGTCAGAGGCCAAGCACCTGGGTGGGTACGGATGGTCAAGACCCAGAGGTGGGATGGGGATGGAGCCGGGATGGGGATGGAGCCAATGAGGGAGGGGATGGGAAGAAGCCCCCCACCTCAGGAAGGAGAAGAGGCTGAAACAATAAATACGTTTGCTCCCATCGTACAAAACCCAGGTGTATTTACAGAGGGGTCGCCAGGCCCCGCTGCCACCACAGGGTCCCCGGGCTCCAGCGCGCACCGCGCAGCTGGGGACCATGTGGGTGCTGAGCGGGGACAGTGGCCCTCCCGCACACAGGGGCCACCCACTGAGACTGGCCGCAGGGATGCTGCTGAGCTCCAGGCTTGGTCCTCCTTCCTGCAGGCTCCTCCATCCCGGGCAGGTGCAGGCAGGGTGGCTCTGCCTGTGCGGCAGGCAGGGAGGGTGGAGGGGCCAGTGTGCAGCCCCTGGGTGGCCTTAAATCAGGATCTCCACCATGTCGGACAGGTCCAGGGCTCTGGCAGCAGCCGAGCTCTCTGCAGAGAAAGAAGGTGAGAGCTGGAGGAGAGTTGAAGAGCATCAGCATGGCGCCCACCCCACAAAAGGGCCGGTAACAAGCGTACTGCTGGTCCACCCTCCCCACAAGGCGTTCAAGAAAAAAAGCTCTGCACCTTAAAAATAAAAAAGCAATGAGTGATTGCAGGGTTTCAAACCCACCAGACTCAACCGGGGTCTTTAAAATGCCGTAAAAAATCACCGATGCTTGTGCAAAGCCCATCTCCTGGATGACACGCCCACGAGCTAGAGCATCCCCAGCTCTCCCCTGTGCCACCCCCAGGGGACTCACCCAGCAAACCGGCCAGGTGCTCGGTGGCCTCGCCCTGGCCGCTGCTCTCGGCTGCCCCGTCCGTCTGTGTGCTGCCGTCCTTGCTGCCATGCTTGGAGTGGGAGGGCAGGGAGAGGGCAGTGGGTGCTGCTGCCCCTTCGGCTGTGGCTTTGCCTGCTGGAGGAGACACCATTAGGGATTGCTGGCTCCTCCAGCCGGTCCCTACAGCTCACTGGAGAAATCCCCCCTCCCCATCCTCTCTACTTCCAAAACCGCAGGGGAAATTGCAGGCAACTCCCCGCTACCGAGCAAAGGCAGGGAACAGGCAGGTGCCTCTGTTTACCTGTGCTGCCCCGGGAGCTGCCCTCAGCCAGCCGGTCACTCTGGCCAGCCCCCGGCCAGCTTGGGGCGGCGGAGGCAGCGAAGATGGAGGGCACGGACTTGGCTGGCCGCAGGGAGCCCTGGAGGGCTTTGCTGGGATCCCTCCGCGAGCGCTGCTGCAAGACCTTGATGACGGCGTCCTTCTCCAGGATTTGGGCGTGAAGGGCTTTTAACCTGGAGGGCAGAAGAGGCAGAAGCTGGGAAAGGAGCCGGAGGTAAGGGAGGAGGATGTGGGCACTGCCCGGCCAGACCACGGCACAAGCTTGTCGGCGAGGTAGACCTACCTGTTCTCCATCTCTTGGTGCTTGTGGCTGGCCAGGAGGAGGTCCTCGTTGAAGCTGCTGTTGGGGGAGTGCCGTGGGGAATGGCTGATGAGGGTGGTGTCCCGCTGGGCGGCCGCGGTGGCTGCGGCATCCATGGCGAACTGCCGCATGGTGCACTCCTCCAGGTACTTCTGCTCCCACTTGGTCATGTCAGCCTCCAGGGCCAGGATCTTCTCTTCCTTCTCCCTCAGCTGCTCGGAGAGCGTGTGGGTGCTCAGCTCCAGCGTCCCTCCGCCCACGGCACCCGCCTGCCTCTGCAGCAGCAAAAAAATAAAACCCAAAGGAGAGGATGAGGAGGTGCTGGGAAGATGCAGCACCCACCACATCTCCCCAGCACCCACTACCATGTCTCATCGGCGCCCACCTGCTGAGCCCGCAGCATCTTCAGCTCCTGCTCCAGGCGGGTGCGGAGCCGCAGCTCGAGCTGCTCCCGCTTCTCACAGGCGGCCTGGAGCTGGCCCAGGGCTGCCTGCAGCCGCTCTACCTTCTCCACGTAGGCCCGCTTCTTCCGCAGCTCGGCCTCCGCCTTGGCTGCCCGTGCCTGGGCGCTGCCCAGTGCCTGCTCCAGCAGCTCTGCTCGCCGCCGCTGGTCCTCGTTGGCACTGCGCAGCAGGGAGACCTCCCTCTCCAGCTTCTCCTTCTCCTGCTGGAGCTCGTAGCCTGCAAGAGAGCCCCCAAGTTTCAGCCAAGGAGGCTTCACCACCCTAAGGCTGGTCCACAAAGACCCACGGGGACTCTTTGCTCCCCGAAACCTGGCCGTGCCATCCCTCCCGCAGCATACAAGGTATATGGGGGCCAGGGGCATCCCAGCCGGATGGGCAGATGGGCAAAAGCCTGTTTGCCACCTTCCAGCCCAAATTTTGGCTTATGGAGGGTAAAAGCTGCCCGGCATGAATCCAACCACCTTAGGGAAGGGGATGCAATTCTTCCCACATAACACCAACACCATGTCTCTCTGCTAAAATAATGGATTTAGGTATATTTTCCCAAAAAAAAAGCCCAGGCCTGAGGTGGAGGAGGAAGGAGGGAGAGAAGGGCCGGGCTGGCGCGGGGTGGGAGTGCGGGCTTGCTGCTGGAAGAGCCGGCGCGGCAGCAGGAA